AGGCTGAGGCTTAGGCTGAGGCAGGCTGAGGCTGAGGCAGGCTGAGGCTGAGGCTGATGCTGAGGCAGGCTGAGGCTGAGGCTGTGAGTGCGACTGCCGTTGCCAGTGCGACTGTCATTGCGAATGCGACTACGACTGCGAGAACAGCAGAATTCTACAACTGGATTCTCATCTGAATCTTAAGGGGAATGCTTCCAGATATGCTCCTACACATCACTGTTAGGTTGCTTTGCCGGGATAGTTACCTAACAGCGAAGACTGATAGGTTTCTAGCGGTCTCAAAAGAGAGCACCATGACTCCCCAGAGGGGTCTGGGCAGATGCCGGACGGGTGCCGCGGGAATCCGGGGACTCCCCATTTTCACTGCCAGGAGCCACATATTAACTGCCCGGAGCCAACAGAACACCACTCCCAGGCCACATTTTGAATGCCCGGAGCCAACTGTAGGCCACTTCGTGTTCTCGTTTTCCCAGAACACCATTCCCAGGCCACATTTTGAATGCCCGGAGCCAACTGTAGACCATTTCGTGTTCTTCGTATTCCCAGAAGATTATTCCCAGGCTAATTTTGAATGCCCGGAGCCAACTGTAGGCCACTTCGTGTTCTTCGTGTTCCCAGAACACCATTCCTGCACCATATTCTGATTGCCCGGAGCCAACTGTGGGCCACTTCGTGATCTTCGTGTTCCCAGAACACCAGTCCTGTGCCATATTTTGAATGCCCGAGCTGAGGCAGGCTGAGGCCGAGGCAGGCTGAGGCCGAGGCAAGCTGAGGCTGAGGCTGAGGCACGCCGAGGCAGGCTGAGGCTGAGGCTGAGGCTGAGGCAGGCTGAGGCTGAGGCAGGCTGAGGCTGAGGCCGAGGCTGAAGGCAGACTGAGGCTGAGGCTGAAGCAGGCTGAGGCTGAGGCTGAGGCATGCTGAGGCTGAGGCAGGCTGAGGCTGAGGCTGAGGCTGATGCAGGGTGAGGCTGAGGCAGGCTGAGGCTGAGGCCGAGGCTGAGGTGCTGAGGCAGGCTGAGGCTGAGAGCAGGCTGAGGCTGAGGCTGAGGCAGGCTGAGGCTGAGGCAGGCTGAGGCTGAGGCCGAGGCAGGCTCAGGCCGAGACAGGCTGAGGCTGAGACTGAGGCTGAGGCTGAGGATGAGGCCGAGGCAGGCCGAAGCTGAGACAAGGTGAGGCTGAATGGGGGGGGAAGGGGGGGAGGAGGGGAGGCTGAGGCAGGCTGAGGCCGAGGCAGGCTGAGGCCGAGGCAGGCTGAGGCTGAGGCTGAGGCAAGCCGAGGCAGGCTGAGGCTGAGGCTGAGGCTGAGGCTGAGGCATGCTGAGGCTGAGACAGGCTGAGGCTGAGGCTGACGCAGGCTGAGGCCGAGGCATGCTGAGGCTGAGGCTGAGGCAGGCTGAGGCTGAGGCCGAGGCAGGCTGAGGCTGAGGCTGAAACTGAGGCAGGTTGAGGCATCCGTAGGAATCCATAGGAATCCCTAGGAATCCTTAGGAATCCGTAGGCATCCTTAGGAATCCGTAGGCATAGTTTAGCATCCTCAGGAGTCCTTAGGATTCCTCAGGAATCCTCAGGAATCCTTAAGAATCCCTAGGAATCCCTAGGAATCAGGATTCCTGAGGATTCCTAAGGTTTCCTAAGGATTCCTATGTATTCCGAAGGATGCCTAAGGATGCCTTAGGAATCCCCAGGAATCCTTGAGATTCCATTGGATCTTCAGGCCGTTGCCACTGCGACTGTCATTACGAATGGACTGCGACTGCGAGAACAGCAGAATTCTACAACTGGATTCTCACCTGAATCTCAAGGGGAATGCTTCCAGATATGCTTATACACATCGCTGTTAGGTTGCTTTGCCGGGATAATGGCGTTTTCAGCCTGAAAGCGCAAAGCAAATGCAGAAACAACGCTAACACGTACAGCCCTGAAAACGCAACACATTACGCTACCGAGGAACCCCACACACTTATATTATGGCTGGAGTGATGATGGCTGAAGTGACGCATGTGAGAATGAAGTTGGTGGCCGTTGCCCCGCCGATACCGTTGGTGACGCCACTCAAGAGGAGAGGTGGAAGAGGAGAAGCGCCGCGCCAGCCACACTTTGCGAGCCCGAAACAGATAACGACCGTACCCCCAGCGCACCCCATTGCGGCGTCGAGGAAGTGTCACGCCTGCCACGCTTTGCGTGGCCGAAACTGGTCGCGACCGCACCCCCAATGCACCCAATGTGGCGTCCAGAAAGTGCCACGCTTGCCACACGTTGCGAGCCCGAAACGGATATCGACCGCACCCCCAGCGCACCCCCTGTGGCGTCGAGGAAGTGCCACGCCTGCTGGGCTTTGCGACAGTGTCGTGGATAACGGCCGCGCTGAGAGACCACCCCCTGCGCACCCCCTATGGTGTCCAGAAGGTGCAACGCCTGCTAGGCTTTGCGACAGTGTCGTGAATAGCGGCCGCGCTGAGAGACCACCCCCTGCGCACCCCCTATGGTGTCCAGAAAGTGCCATGCGTGCTAGGCTTTGCGGCAGTGTCGTGGACTGAGAGACCAACCCCCGCGCACCTGTTATGGTGTCCTGAAAGTGCCACGCGTGCTAGGCTTTGCGACAGTGTCGTGGGTAGCGGCCGCGCTGAGGGACCACCCCCTGCGTACCCCCTATGGTGTCCAGAAAGTGCCACGCCTGCTAGGTTTTGCGACAATGTCGTGGATAGCGGCCGCGCTGAGAGACCACCCCCTGCTTACCCCTTATGGTGTCCAGAAAGTACAGCGCTTGCTAGGCTTTGCGACAGTGTCGTGGATAGCGGCCGCGCTGGGAAACCACCCCCTGCGCACCCCCTATGGTGTCCAGAAGGTGCCACGCCTTCCAGGCTTTGCGGCAGTGTCGTGGATAGCGGCCGCGCTGATGGACCACACCTTTGCGCACCCCCCATGGTGTCCAAAAAGTGCCACGCCTGCTAGGCTTTGCGACAGTGTCGTGAATAGCGGCCGCGCTGAGAGACCATCCCCTGCGCAAGCCTTATGGTGTCCAGAAAGTGCCACGCCTGCTAGGCTTTGCGACAGTGTCGTGGATAGCGGCCGCGCTGAGAGACCTCACCCTGCTTACCCCTTATGGTGTCCAGAAAGTACAGCGTTTGCTAGGCTTTGCGACAGTGTCGTGGATAGCGGCCGCGCTGAGAGACCACCCCCTGCGCACCCCCTATGGTGTCCAGAAAATGCCACGCCTGCTAGGCTTTGCGGCAGTGTCGTGAATAGCGGCCGCGCTGAGAGACCATCCCCTGCTTACCCCTTATGGTGTCCAGAAAGTGCCACGCCTGCTAGGCTTTGCGGCAGTGTCGTGGGTAGCGGCCGCGCTGAGGGACCACCCCTTGCGCACCCCCTTATGGTGTCCAGAAAGTGCCACGCCTGCTAGTCTTTGCGGCAGTGTCGTGGGTAGTGGCCGCGCTGAGATACCACCCCCCGCGCACCTGTTATGGTGTCCAGAAGGTGCCTTTCTGCTAGGCTTTGCGACAGTGTCGTGGATAGCGGCCGTGCTGAGAGACCCCTTGCGCACCCCGGTGTCCAGAAAGTGCCACCCTTGCTAGGCTTTGCGACAGTGTCGTGGATAGCGGCCGCGCTGAGAGACCATCCCCTGCTTACCCCTTATGGTGTCCAGAAAGTGCCACGCCTGCTAGGCTTTGCGGCAGTGTCGTGGATAGCGGCCGCGCTGAGAGACCACCCCCTGCGCACCCCCTATGATGTCCAGACAGTGCCACGCCTGCTAGGCTTTGCGACAGTGTCGTGGTAGCGGCCGCGCTCAGAGACCACTTGCTGCGCACCCCGTATGGTGTCCAGAAATGCTGTGCTGTGCTGTGTAGTGCACAGGTGTGCTGTGCTGAGGTGCTGTATTGTGCTGTGCAATGCTGTGCTGAGAGGAGCTGTGCTGTGCTGTGCTGTGTACGTGCTGTGTGTCAATGTGCTGTGTGCTGTGCTGTGCTGAGCTGTGCTGAGCTGTGCTGAGCTGTGCTGTGCTGTGCTCTGCTGCGCTGTGGTGCGCTTGCTGTGCTGTGCAGTGATGTGCTGCGCTGTGCTGAGCTAAGCTGTGCTGTGCTGAGCTGTGCTGTGCTGCGCTGTGCTGCGCTGTGCTGTGCTGCGCTGTGCTGCGCTGTGATGTGCGGTGTGAAGGGGGAGGGAGGAGGAAGGTGGGGTGTGAGGGCCGCGGGTGCGACGAGGCAGGGAAGGAAACCACCACCCCACCAAGCATGTGGGGGAAAACGGGACGTAGGTTTTCCCAACCATCCTGTGATGTTGGTCCTCGTTTTGAAGAGACGGTGCCCCGCGTTCCTCCTTCCTTCCTCCCCCCCGTCCCCTCCTCTTCTCCTCCTCCTCCTCCTCCTCCATCATCCTCATCATCATCGTCGTCATCGACGTCACACGTTTCGTGGCCCCATAGGAGCTCCGCCGAAGGTCCCATTGGCACAGCTCGCATGCGTCCCCGCCGTTGATTTCGGCACACCCCTCACACGTTTCGTGGCCCCATAGGAGCTCCGCCGAAGGTCCCAGTCTCACAGTTCGCATGCGTCCCCGCCACTCATGTCGGCACACCCCTCACACGTGTCGTGGCCTCATAGGGGCTCCGCCGACGGTCCCAGTTGCACAGTTCGCATGCGTACTTGCCACTCATTTCGGCACACCCCACCCGTTTCGTGGCCCCATAGGAGCTCTGCCGAAGGTCCATCCGTCCCCGCCATTCATTTCGGCACACCCCTCACACGTTTCGTGGCCTCATATGAGCTCCGCCGAAGGTCCCAGTGGCACAGTTCGCATGCGTCCCCGCCGTTCATGTCGGCACACCCCTCACACGTGTCGTGGCCCCATAGGAGCTCCGCCGAAGGTCCCAGTGGCACAGTTCGCATGCGTCCCCTCCACTCATTTCGGCACACCCCTCACACGTTTCGTGGCCCCATAGGAGCTCCGCCGAAGGTCCCAGTGGCACAGTTCGCATGCGTCCCCGCCATTGTCATTTCGGACACACCCTCACACGTTTCGTGGCCCCATAGGAGCTCCGCCGAAGGTCCCAGTGGCACAGTTCGCATGCGTCCCCGCGCCATTCATGTCGGCACACCCCTCACACGTTTCGTGGCCCCATAGGAGCTCCGCCGAAGGTCCCAGTGGCACAGTTCGCATGCGTCCCCGCCACTCAATGTCGGCACACCCCTCACACGTTTCGTGGCCTCATAGGAGCTCCGCCGAAGGTCCCAGTGGCACAGTTCGCATGCGTCCCCGCCATTCATTTCGGCACACCCCTCACACGTGTCGTGGCTCCATATGGAGCCCTACCGAAGGTCCCCGTGGCGCAGTCCGCATTGTGTTGTTCGTTTTTTTCGCGTTGTTTACCACGCCATTCATTTCGGCACACCCCTAGCACGGTTCGTTGCCTCAGAGGGATCACCACCGAAAGAGTTAATCACAACTGCGGTACTCACACCAACATATGGTTGGGTCCTTCGTCGTTTTTTTTGGTTGTTGTTGTTTTGTTTTTTTGTTTTTTCTTTTTTTATCTCCCCCCGTTTTCAGCCTGTCGAGAGCCTAAAGTAGAAGGCGCGAGCAAAAACGCCCAGGGCTTCTCTAAGGCGAACCAAGCCCATGGGGCCTTAGGCCTGCGGCCGCGGGACTCCCGCCCTCGGCCCCCGCTCCGCTGGCCGCGCTCTGGCCGCACGTGCCCCGCGGGTGCCGAGGCCGCGCGGGGCTCCCCTCGGGCCTGTGGTGCGGCAGGCTCGTGACCCGCTCGACGCCGCGGCGTCCCGGGTGGCGCCCCCCCGTGCTGGGCCCCTCGGGCCCCCCCCTCCTCCATGTCCTCCACGTGTGTTCTCCCTTCCCCGTTTCCTCGGAGCTGCGCTGCTGCTCCTGCTCCTGCTCCTGCTTCCCACCGTCCTCACCCCCACGCCCCTCCTCCCAGCGGCGCTGGGCCGAGGAAGAGCGCCTCCAGGCTTGTTCTACTGCCCCGCCGGCCACGCGTAAGCGTGGCCCTTCGCCAGAGTTGCCTCTGGCGCGTGTGAGTTCGCGGTGGTTACCAGCCTGGAACATATCCCTATCCCTATGCTGGGCACCTCATCACGATGCCAATCTTAGGGATTCCCTTATTTTTTGAGGGTGAATCCCTAAGATTGTCATCGCCTTTTGGCGTGTCAATCTTAGGGATAGGGATATGTTCGAGGCTGGTAAGGTGGAGCACCGCCGGTGGCCCAGAAAATGCGGCCGAGGTCGAGCGAGCTGCGCTGTCGCCAGGCCGCGATCGTGCCGATCGGCGGCGAAAGCCGAAGCCTGCCCTCGCCGACCGACGACGCAGGCAGGTCGATGGGCGGCGGGGGTGATGATGATGATGATGATGAGGATGATGATGATGATGATGATGATGATGATGATGATGATGATGCTGATGCTGATGCTGATGTTGATGATGATGATGATGATGAGATGATGCTGATGCTGGATGCTGATGCTGATGCTGATGCTGTGCTGATGCTGATGCTGATGCTGATGCTGATGCTGATGCTGATGATGATGCTGATGATGATGCTGATGATGCTGATGATGGTGAGAAGAGATGAACGGATGGATGATCATGAGCTGATTGATATGATGATGATGATGATGATGATGATGATGATGATGATGATGTTGTTGAACATTATTTATCTTCTAAGAATAATTATTGTTGGGGCCCCTGGTGCGCGACCCCCCCGCCGCGCCTAGGCCGCAGCCTCATTTTCATCATTTTCGTGAGGAAGTCTCAGGCAAAACGGGGAGTCCGGATCCGGTTGTGTTGTTACGATCGGTTTCCCTTGCAAAAAATATAGCTAAAGTGGACATTTCTTGTTCTAACATAACCAAACTTCAAGAATCCCTTGCAAAAAATAAGGTAAAGTGGACATTCGCGCGCGCAAGACGAAATCCTTCCAAAACCTTAGTTTTCGTAGCGATTTTAACATAAAAACATCAAAAAACCAATGGTTTTTCAAAAAAAAATTGTCAAAATTTCATCCCGCGCGCTCTTGCGGATTCGTAGGAAACCCAACACTTTTTAAACATTTCTGTCAAACGGGCTTTTGCGAGCAACTTTTTCGAACTTCTGCGACAACGGTTGCGCACCTGCCAGGGCCATCATCCCTGTCAAATAATACCATGCGGGACACATTCGTTTTTTCTTCGCGCGCGCACGCCGTCGTCGTCGGCCGCGGGGCCTGAATAGTAGCCACGGTCGTCCGCATGCCACGAAGTGAAGTGTCCGAACGTCATAGGGCGGGAAGCTGGGTGTGGGTGGTGGCGAAGAGTCGTTTGGAAATTTGGTAGAGCTTGAACCGGCCCCCCCACAAAGTGGGGGTATTGCCCGCCTCCTATGAAAACCCTGGCACTGGTGAGAACGGAGTGTCCCCACGTGCTAGTAATTGTTGTTGTTGTTGTTGTTGTTGTTGTTGTTGTTGTTGTTGTTGTTGTTGTTGTTGATGAACATTATTACTTCTAAAGAATAATTATTGTTGGGACCCCTGGTGCACGCCCCCCCGCCGCGCCTAGGCCGCAGCCACATTTTCATCACTTTTGTGAGGAAGTCTCAGGCAAAACGGGTTGGTCCGGATCCGGTTGTTTTGTTACGGCCCGCTTTCCCTTGCAAAAAATATGCTAAAGTGGACATTTCTTGTTCTAACATAACCAAACTTCAAGAATCCCTTGCAAAAAATAAGGTAAAGTGGACATTCGCGCGCGCAAGAGAAATCCTTCCAAAAGCTTAGTGTTCGGAGCGATTTTAACATAAAAACATCAAAAAACCAATGGTTTTTCAACAAAAAAATGTCAAAATCTCATCCCGCGCGCTCTTGCGGATTCGTAGGAAACCCAACACTTTTTAAACATTTCTGTCAAACGGGCTTTTGCGAGCAACTTTTTCGAACTTCTGCAACAACGGTTGCGCACCTGCCAGGGCCATCATCCCTGTCAAATAATACCATGCGGGACACATTCGTTTTTTCTTCGCGCGCGCACGCCGTCGTCGTCGGCCGCGGGGCCCTGAATAGTAGCCACGGTCGTCCGCATGCCACGAAGTGAAGTGTCCGAACGTCATAGGGCGGGAAGCTGGGTGTGGGTGGTGGCGAAGAGTCGTTTGGAAATTTGGTAGAGCTTGAACCGGCCCCCCCACAAAGTGGGGGTATTGCCCGCCTCCTATGAAAACCCTGGCACTGGTGAGAACGGAGTGTCCCCACGTGCTAGTAATTGTTGTTGTTGTTGTTGTTGTTGTTGTTGTTGTTGTTGTTGTTGTTGTTTTCGTCGTGAGCGCTAGGCCTGGGCCTCTGGCGTGTCTTTGGTGGCTCTCTGGGACTCTGCCTACCCCAGAAGTGCCCATAATGGAGGATGACGATTAATAAATGACCGGAGGTCGCGTTCACGCGGCGGCGCCCGGGATGACGATTAGAAAACACCGGCCGCGGGCTAGAAAACTATTTTTTAAAGCGTTCTCCTTCAGTCAGAAAATTGTACAGAAATATCATAAAACTTTTTTGTTATATAACAAATCGTTCTCTCCCAATTTTTTATTAATCGTCGTCCCGCATTAGGGTTCGGAATTCGTCGAACAGGTGGCGAAGTCCGAACCCTACCCCCGCCTCCCACCGATTCAGGAGGATCGACGGTCGGCGGGGGTAGGGTTCGGCGCCGCCCATCAGGGGTGAACGATCCACGCGGTGTCTGAAGCCAGCGTGCAAGTCGTCGCGACACGAACCTACGGATGCCTTTCGGTGTCGAGTGGCCCCATCGCGGGGCTCCACCTCTTGTTTCTCAAGGATTTCAGAGTTTCTGAGGGCACATCCGTACAAGTACGGTCGCCTTGGGCTTGTCAAGCTTCGGGGTAGGGATGGGCCCGAGGCTGAAAAACTGCGCCCCGCAAGTCCCAGGTGTGCCCACCCGGAGTCCCCTTGTGCGTGGTGGCCCTCCGTTTCCGACCAGACTCGTAAGGGGCCCCTCCGTGGCCACTCGCGGCCCCATTCGATTTTCACCTGATCACCAAATCTCGACACGGATCTCGGTCAGGTCCCTTGGTATCGCTCGGACGAATCACGCACTCTTTCTCGGCGGGGATCATTAAGGAGCATCCTGGACTATCCTGCGACAAAAACCACGCACGAAACCGACAAGAACACGGGGAATGGACGTCCGAGCGATGGCCAGGTCCGATCCGACACGGAGCGATTCGCCCTCCAGCGTGCGGTGGCCGAGCCAGATCCGCGATCCCAAACGATCGGCGCCCCCCAACATACTGATACTATGTGTGCGTCGCCCCGCCAGGGGCGACGCGCGCACCGAGAATTCGTATATTATATGCGTCGTGGCGGGCGCTTTCTGACCACACCGCTCGGGAAACGATGTACCCCAAGACGGGTATACTATATGTTCGGGTCGGACGCGTGCCTCCCAGGAGGACATATAGTATTCGGATGTCTCTGTGCGTCCCAAGATCCGCGATCCCAAACGATACGATCCCGATCAGATATTGCGACGACTCGGGCGCGAGCGATCCGATCTGTTTCCGATCCGATTCGGCTCCGCGGCTCGCTCCTGCGCGGGCCTGCGCTCTTGGTGCATGTGTCCGGGCCCGGGACAATCAAACTACCTTGAGAGGGAGGGGGTCGCGATCTTTGGGGCCACGGGCGGAAACATCAGATCGGCGGAGTTCAGTGTGGGGCGTATGCACCGCTCCTGGGCCCAAGATGGGCCTGGCCAGGGGCTCTGAACATTTTCGCATTTCGTTGCCCCAAGATCTCACCAGCCTCGAAGTCACTATCCCCAAGACTGGCGGGCCAAAAAGCGATGACAATCTTAGGCATGCGCTCTCAGAAACAAAGAGAATCCTGAAGATCTGAACATGTCGAGATAAGGCCACGCAAAGCATAGGGATACAGTCGGGGTGCTGAAGAAGGAACACTTTTCGTTGGGGAGGGGTCGGTGTTACTGGATTGTTTTACAGTTTGCCTCGGGTGTTCCTTCGGTTTCCCATGGGACATCGAAGTTTGGCTTATGGAAAAAGGGGCCGCGTTCCTCACTTAGGGCTCCTTAGGTCAACGGCCAGTCCAGGCCGCCCAGGTGGGATCGGATTTACCATGGCGGGGGCCATGATATTTCCCCTGGTTTCATGGCGCCTCTTCTCATTTCATTACGTCCCTGGCCCCCCCGCTGGGCCGCGCACATGCCGCCGGCCATGATTTGCGCCCCCCTCTCTTGGACGCCCCCCTCTTGGCCGCCCCCGAATGCAGATCGGAGGACGCGTAATGCGGGGGAGATCGGGGGCAGCGAGGGCTGCAGAAAGGTGCCCACCTTTCTTCCCACCCTTTTATCGCCCCCCATTAATTCGCACACAAGCCGACGCGGCGCGATCCTCCGACCCCGATGTGGAATGCCCCCAAGGGAGCTGAAGGAGTGCAGGAGCTGGAGATACGGATTTTCACATCTTCGCGAGAGTCGAATAAGAACAGTACTGCACGATCATGACTTTCGGAGGAGGGCCGCGCGGATTTCTTTGGTCGGCACTGGACCCTCCCTGTCCCTTGCGGCGACTTTCCCTGTCCCTGGCGGCACCTCTGGCGCCGCTCCGTGCGCCAGAGAGGGGGGTCCAGTGCCGACCCAAGACCTCCGCGCGGACTTTCGAAGGTTTTTTTTGTGTGCGCAGTTGTGAGTGCAGGACATCGAGATGGGGGCTTCACGGCCTCGCGAGAGAGTCTCCCATGGGAACTCAGCCCCTGGAGGGGCCCATCGCCATTACCCCGGAAGAGGAGCGAGCTTGGAGCCTGCCTCGTGGCTTTCTCCGTTGGACCGTCTCTCGTCCAGTCCGGTCCTGTCCATGAGGCATCAGGAGAAGCTGGACCGAATTCCGGATAACTACGGGAAGGCTGGCAGGATACGTGGGCAAGACAGCATGTCCCTGCCTGTGTTGCCTACCCGTGGCCCCGTGCCACAGGCTCTGCAGTGTGCGACGGTGCTGTCGTCTGGATGTTTCGCGCGCCCGAGGTGCCGGCGGTCGTTGAACGATGCAACCGCAGCCGTCCCCCAGAGCGCAACGCCCGCTTTGTAGTAGTGGCGTCGCGCTGACGCCTGCACAGGCTCGCTAAGCTATCAAGGCTCACGTGAGCGATCACCAGTGGGACGTGCTGATCGTCTGTTGCCGAGTCCTTGTGTTGTGGAGTCTTCTGGGTCTGAACGGCAGAGTGTCAGGGCCAGGTCGCCAAGGTGAGTCATTTCGAGGGCCCGCGGGTGCGGCGGCGTTGGCAACGGGTGCAGGCCAGCGCTGCGGCGAAGCGCGGAGACCGTGGCGCTTCGAAGTACCACATCAGGGCCCGCCCACCGCGCCTGCTTTTGGGATCGCTTGCCAGCCTCCTCTCGCCGTTGGCGCGCCTCCACCTGTCTGGGAGAGGAGAGTTTGTCGGCCCTCGTCAGATGAGGGGGATGGGTAGGGGAAGAACAAGTGACATAAACATACAAACTCGGAGGTCCGCGCGGATTTCTCGGATCGGCGCTGGACCCCCCTCCCTCGCGCGCGGAGCGCGCCAGGGGCGGCGCCGGAGGCGCCGCCGGGGGGGGTCCCAGCGCCGATCCGAGAAATCCGCGCGAACCTCAGAGTTCTTATATTCATGCCACCTTTTGTTCCCCTAGGGATGGGGCAGGATGATTGGTCAGGAGCAGTTGTTCGAACTCTGGGCGCAACAACGAGCCACAGACACAACGGAACGGATTTTTTTCGGGAGGGCCCCTTCTGGGGAGAAGCCGCCGACCTCGACAGGCGCACGGTGGTTCTGGTTGTGGTCGATCTGGCCGTCCTGGGACGCCTCATCAACCACAACTACAGTCAACGCGCCTAGTAAGGACGCGCGCCTTCACCTAGGGTACCCTTGTGTCCTTGCCTCTGAGGCTCGTCCTTGCCATTATCACTGGTCGCCCGCCGCCCTAAAACACCCAACTTCGGCCTCCAAGGGTCTTGCGTCCTTACCACGCGTCCTTACTATATCGGGGGTGGACAGAACCCCCAACAGTGACACGTCGATTAGTGAATTGTCCGTTTTCGGTTCTCGAGAGGGCGCCGTGGCCGTTATTTTCCAGGCTTGCGCCCGCCAGGTTTGGGCCTCAGGTCGTTTTCACTAAACCACGTTTTACTAAAGGGGGGTCTGTCCATCCCCGACTATACGTTTTCACTGTAGGAGCAGTTAGTCGAACTCCGGGCGCAACAACGAGCCACAGCCACAGCGGAACGGATTTTTTTCGGGAGGGCCCCTCGGGGGAGAGCCCGCCGACCTCGGCGTGCGCATTTTTTGGGGATTGTGGCGGTGGTCCACTTGGCCGTCCTGGGACGCCACATCGACCACAACTGGTAGGAACCTGAATTCGGGGGGAAAAAAAGTAGGAACCTGAATTCGGTGTTCTGACAATTTTTGGCATGCGCAGGACATCCCCCAGGGCGTGTCCTCGATGTGGTTGGCTGGTGTCCCCGCACGGGCACGCACTCATAGCAGCCTCATCGCAACGAGGATGACGGTGATGACGGTGGTGGGTGTGCTGATGATGACGTCTTTCGTTTCAAGGTCATTGTCAGATTGGTGGTGCATTGTGGCCCGTGTTTCTCACCACTGAGGTGCCACGAACTTCAGTCAGACACTCGTAGCGTTCGTGGCCTACGATCCCTCGGGGCTACTGTACCACCAGGCTCGCGATCGTGGCGTCAGGCTCTTCTTCGTTTGCACTCGCTCGGCCCCCCAGGAGTCCGTTTTCCATTCTCACGACGAGTGTTGATGCTGATGTTGATGCTGGTGCTGATGCCAATGTGGCTGCTGATGGTGATCCTGATGAGCGAGCGTGGTTGTTGAACCTGGTTCGTTTGCAACGAGGGGCGAGAGGCGGCCGCGTATCAGCCTTGCAGGCTTGAAGGTCTTGTTCGTAAAGCTGAGCGATCTGTTCCGGTGGTCACTTTTTTGGCGCTCCCCGCTTTGAGTCGGCGGCATTTGGCTTTCCTGTACTCCGAGTGGTAAGGCCCTTAGCTAGGATCCGCAGTCCTTGCTCGCAAGGATGGCACGGAGAGCGGGCAATCGGTATTTTCTGCGGTGCCGGTGCTCCCTTATCATATGTCGTTTGAAGATGTTCGTTGTGTGTTGAGGATTCGGGCACGTGTTCCGGATTGAGCAATTCGCACGTTGGCGCTTACACTGGGAACGGCGCAGCAGTGATGACGATGGTGGCGATGATGGCGAGGCTGACGGTGACGACAATGATAATGACGACGATGATGGTGATGTTGATGCTGATGCTGATGATGATGCTGCTGCTGATGATGATGCTGATGATGATGATTAGATGATGATTCGATGCTGATGATGAGGATAATGATGATGATGATGATGATGATGATGATGATGATGATGATGATGATGACGATGATGATGATGATGATGATGATGATGATGATGATGATGGTGATGATGATGATGATGATTAGATGATGATGATGATTAGATGATGATGATGATGATGATGATGATGATGATGGTGGTGGTGGTGGTGGTGGTGATGATGATGATGATGATGATGATGATGATGATGATGATGCTGATGATGACGATGATGATGATTATTAGATGATGATTAGATGATGATGCTGAGGATTGATGATGATGCTGATGCTGCGGCTGCTGCTGCTGCTGCTGCTGCTGATGATGATGATGATGATGATGATGATGATGATGATGATGATGATGATGCTGATGCTGATGATGATGATGATGATGATGATGATGATGATGATGATGATGATGATGATGATGATGATGGTGATAGCGTTTCTTGATCACGGCGACGCAACTGCTGATGATGTTGGCGGCGGGGTTCCTACAGCTTGGGGGGGGCGGATCGTACTCGACGCCTCGCCAGCAATTCTCCGAGGCTAAACTCGTACTTGGTGGCTGGCATGTCCGGGGCCCGCGCCTGGTCCTGGCTTGCGCCGCCATGCGGCGAACACGAACCCGCCAGGCCGCGCAGTTCGCTGGGACGCGTCGAGCAACCCCGACCGTTTACCAGCCTCGAACTTATCCCTATTCCAAAGATTGACACGCCAAAAGGCGATGACAATCTTGGGGATCCGCCCTCAAAAAATAAGGGACCCCCCAAGATTGGCATCGTGACGAGGGGATGCCCAGCATAGGGATGGGGATATGTTCAAGGCTGGTAAATCGTGGCCTCCGTGACACACGAAGGATTGCAAAGAAACCCAGGATTGCAAAAAAACCCAGGATTGCAAACAAAAACCCGTGCACGAAGGATTGCAACAAAAACCCAGGTTTTTTTGCAATCCTTCGTTCGGGCGAGCTCACCGTGCGCACGGTGGGCCCGCGCGCCCGCCGCCGACCCGAGCAGCACAGGTCGGGCGCCCCCTTGCAGCCGCCGCGAGGTCTCCACGCGCGCCGCTGCGCCACGCGGGCGCCGCTGCACCCGCGAGGCGCCCTCGCAGGTGGCATCGGTCGGTTTCGGGCGAGGAGCTCCCCTCGAGGTCCATTGTGTCATAATTACCCCCGAGCGCCCGTGGCGAGGCGCGCGCGGCGCGCGCCGCGCCCCACCCGCGCGCGCACGCGCGGGCGCTCGGGGCAGGCGAGCAGCCGGTGCCGCGTGCGCCCGCCTTCTGCGTGGGCCGCGGCGGCTGCCCTCCCCCCCCCCCCATGGTCGGCCCTCCAGCTGTTCTAGGGGGCCACAGGCGATCCCTACAGTCGGGGCGCTGGAGAAGGAACCCTTTTGGTTGGGGAGGGGCTCCGCGTTCCTGAAGTGTTTCACAGCTCGCCTCATGTTTTCCTCATGTTTTCGACGGGAAATCGAAGTTTAACCCATGGAAAAAAGGGGCCTCGTTCCTTATTTAGGGTTCCTTAGGTCAACGCCCCGACTGTACCCCTACCCCCCACGATTTCTGAGGGGGATCGAGGGTGGGGTTCACTTCGTTCGGGAGCTCCTGAGCGAAGTGAACCCCACCCTGCCCCTCAGAAATCGTGGGGGGCAGGGGTAGTGTTCGCATGTGGCCCCCTATGTTCACCACCGCCGTGCCCTTGCAGGGCCATAGTGAGGGCCCCAGAGCGGTGCATAGCATCGCGGGGTGGAGCAGCACCGGCTGCCGGTGTTTGATCTGTATCCTCAGGGCCATGTCGATTCGTTGGCTTCCAGTGGCGTTCTGACCCACCAAGTTTCGGTCTCTGGGGGCCCTCACCAGGCCCCGGGGCTATGAACCACGACTCAGGCTGAAATGCAGGTCCCTAGGTATGGGTCCAGACATCTGGGGAGCCGCGCTGCGAAAAAAACATACAAATCACGACATCGGATGTCTGTGACCATGCGCGCGTGGATTGCGGCGCAAGCCGATGTGCAAAGGATCGGCTACCTGCAGATCCCATTCCTATATCGATTCTGGCCAGCCGATTCGAGTCCGATGTTCCGACCATTCGACGCTGTCCGATGCTCGCATGGCTCTGTTGTGCATCTTGGCGCAGCTGTTCCGATTCGATTCCGACTCCGTCGCGATGCGGCCCGATCCGACTCACATTCTGATTCGACTCGATTTTCCGATGCGACGCTGACCCATCCGGTCCGGAGGTCCAGGAGCAATCCATTGGGGCGTGTCCATGTGTACACTTTTGCGGAGGACACTGAGTTTCTGCGGTTCGGTCGGTGCGGCTGCCTCGCGGTCGGCGGCATTCGGTCAGTTCCGTTCGGTCGGTCGCCGCGCCGCTGCTTCCTCCTGGGCTGCTCTCGGTCCGTAGGTTTCGGTCGGGCTCGTGTGAATTTGTTGTCGCCGTGGACGTCTCACTACAGGCGGCGACCCCATCTAGGGCGTTCAAGTTTGACCGCTCCTTGCGCCCTGGAATCGGCTGACATGAACATATTTGTGAGGGAGGCCGCGATCGCCCAAGGTTGAACGATCCGCGGTGTGTGAGAGGCCGCCGTGCAAGTCATCACGAAACGACGACACGAACACGCCGTGCTTCTGCTGCGGCGGGCGTCTGCGGCTGCAGGCGGCGCCCGAGCGCACCGCCCGGAGCCGAGGCCGAGTGGGAGAAGAACTACGGCGGCCACAGCTTCTGCAGCGAGTCGGCGAAGATCGCCAGGGACGCCTCTCCGCCCCTCCCCGGGCCCTCCCGGGCGCCGGGGCCCACGTCATCCCGAGGTCCGCCGCCAGCATGTCTGTCTGGCCCGCGGCCCCGGAGGTCCCGACCGCTTCCCCGGGGCCAGCTCTCTTCCCCAGATCTAGCCAACGAGTCACTATCGGAGCTAGAATCTCTCAACGGTCTGCGCTTTCGAAACAGTCCCAGGGGACTGTCTTCGCTGAGTTCCTAAGTTCCTTTATCAGGTCTTCAGGACTACCTTCTGAAATGGCCCCGGGGCCCGCACGAGGGCCCCCCACATGGCCAGTATCGAGGAGCACATTGCGCCCGGAGATCCGATGCCTTGAGTTGCCCCAGCCCTCCCGTGTTGTGTTCTCGTTTTGAATCGAGCGTTATGGTCACCACCCTCTCGCACGTCCCCCTGCCTGCTCCTGCGCTGCCCCGTGGTGGCTGCGAACTGCGCGACTGGCGCCTCTTCTGAGGTTTCCTGGAAGGCACGGCGGAGTCGGGGAGTGCGCGCCCTCAGGCGGGACCTCGCTGCTCCCCGAGTGGCTGCGATCTTCGCATGTGCCCTGCGCAGCAAACACGAAGACCCTCTTGCACTAATTATGCATTCCCCTGGGAAGTGTTTTGCTGAGTGCGATGGCGAGAGCCTGGTTTCGCTTTATCTGTGCCGCGCAGACCACTTATGTTTTGTGTTTTCAAAAAGGAATACAAGCCCTCCACTTACTTCAGCCAAATAACACTTTGCCCTACTGGTATCCTGCATCCACGGCTTTGCTCCTACTCCTCTTGTCTCAGCGCTACTACTACCATTACAGGTAAATTGTGCTCGCACTACTGGTCTCCGTCGTATTGCCAGTGCTGATACTAGGTGAAGTCGTTCTGCCACTGAATTTGATGTTTTTGCCGCTGCTCCTCCTCCTGCTAGGACCGCTGGTGCTGCTGGAATCGTTCGACTTGGTACGTTCATTCTTAATGGTGTCATTGCTACTGCTGCTACACTTCCTGGAATGTCTACGACTACAAGTATTCTACTTAGTTTACTACTGCCACGACGGTGACGGCTATTATTACTATGACTAGTCGTACGACGACCAACACTACTATTAGTGTTGCTAGTTCTAATGCTACTACCTCTGATCTTCACGTTCTTGTTCCCAACCATCCTGTAGTATTGGGCCCTCGTTTTGAAGAGGCGGCGCCCCGCGTTCCTCTCCTCTCCTCTCCTCTCCTCTCCTCCTCCTCCTCCTCCTCCTCCTCCTCCTCCTCCTCCTCCTCCTCCTCCTCCTCCTCCTCCTCCTCCTCCTCCTCCTCCTCCTCCTCCTCCTCCTCCCCCCCCCCTCTCTCCTCACTCCCTTACCACTGCCCACCGCGCTCCGTGGCCATTCTGGCTCAAGGCTCTCTTTTGGAACCCGCTCGGGCTCGAAAGGGGGCTGCGAGCCCCGCAGCTTCGGCTCAAAGCCCCCCGTGCTCTTCAGCCATTCCGGCCCTCTCCTCGCGTGGGCGCAGTCGCCCGTGGGTGAGCCAGCGAAATCCCTCGGGGGCGCGCCGCGTGCTGCCGAGCCCCGCTCTCGCGGCATGGCGCTGCCCGCCGTCCTCCGCGGCCCGCAGTTCCCCGGCATGGGCCTGTTCGGGCTGCGACCGCACGGCAAGCTGGGCCTCCAGGGCCGTCTGCGCCTGCGGGGCCGCTGTGCCGCCCCGCGTCCTGCGGCGCGCCAGAGAGCAGCGCGCCGAGGCTGGCGGCCCGACGCCCGGCGGCGGAGGCGGCGGCCAGGCTTGGGCGTTGCGTGATGGGGGGGTCCTATGTGGGGGGGTGGCGAGGGTGGTCCGAAAGGGTGCCCAAAGGGTACCTAAACGAGCCCCCTGGGGCTCCGGAGGGGCTCGAAAGGGGCTCGAAAGGGGACGAAAAGGGCACGCCCAAAAGGCCGGCGGCGTCCCGGGCGCGTTGGCCAGCAAGATGGCTGCCTTCCGCAAGCAACTCGAGGTGATCAAGGTCAGCCTGGCCTCTGTCGGCGGCGGCGGCGCGAAGGGCACCGCTGCTGCGCAAGCCGAGGGGCCCGTCGACGAGGACTCCGAGCGGCTGGCCCAGACCTCGGAGCACGAGAGCCAGATCGCCAAGACGAAGAGGCTCCAGCTGGGCGACGAGCTCGCGCAGGCGCAGGAGATCCGCCTGGCGGCCCTGCGCGCCGAGCGCATGGGGGCCCAGGCGCCGCAGGCCCAAGTGGCTGTTCTCTCGAGCCGCCTCGGCCGACTCCAGGCCAAGCAGGAGAAACTCCGCTTGGCCATGGTTGACAAGCAGAAGAGCATCGCGGAGGCGCAGGCGGCGCTGGACCAGGCGAAGGCCGACCTGGAAGTGCGACAGACCGATATCGCGAACACCGCCAGCGCGGTCGTTGCGGTCCAGGCGGATATGCGGCAGGCGATGGAGAAGGCGGCCTCTGAGCAGGAGGCCCCTCGCGCCCGTGCAGCAGCAGGAGGAGCTCACGGAGGTCTTGCGAGCGCACCCGCAGGGCGCGTAGCTCGGCGCCAGCGGCGGCGGGGAAAAGGTTCTCGGCGAACTGCCGGGGCAAGTCCCGGCGAAGCTGGCCGCGGCGCCTGGCCCTCCTGGCCCTGCTGCTCCTGCTCCGGATGCCCAGCCCCCTTGATGAGGCGATGCCCGACGTGCTCGACGACAGCACCGTCGAGCTCATCCAGGAAACCCAGAGGCCAAGCGAGCCCTGGCTGCGACCCTCCGCGACCTGCGGGTGCTCAAAAGGGCGTGCGGGTACTGCGCGCGGTGGCTCCCCTCTCGGGGCCCACGCCGCCAGCCGCGCTGGGTGTGAGCAGGCAATGGTGGTCTGAGGGGGACGGTCCTTCCTCCTCCTCTTCCTCCTCCTCCTCCCTCCTCCTCCCCCTGCACCTCTTTTTTCCTTCTCCCTCCTCCCTTCTCCTCCTCCCTCCTCCTCCTCCTCATCCTCCTCCTCCTCCTCCTCCTCCTCCTCCTCCTCCTCCTCCTCACCATCACCATCACGTCATAGGGGACGGGCGCAAGCGTGGCTGGATTGCTCGACGGTCCTCCCACAGGAGACGGACTTCTCTTCCCAGCGCCTGCTGGAGGCGCAAGGCTCCTTGATTCAGGAGGGGAAAATCACACAGACACAATTATTCGTCGAATCCCAGAAAATATGCGAAAATATGGGAAGTGGGGGGGAAGACAGAAACCCAGAAAATATGGGAAAATATGGGGATTTTTGTTTTATTTGTGTGTATCTATTTGTGTGTCCCAGGGCCCCTTCATTGATGAGCCGCGGCGGACGGCTCACTGGGGCGCGCGCAGAGCTGCAGCACACGGGGCTGAGTGGCGGGGTCGGTGCATCCAGGCTCGCGAGCACATCGCCGGCGACGATATGAGCCCGGCAGGAGCGCGCGCGCCGTCTGCAGGCTCCCCGGCCTCAGCGTGGTGGCGCTCTAGAGCTGCCACCTCGTCGCAGGCGCTGGGCTCGCGGGCAGTCTGGACTCGCTCCGCGCCCTGGCTGCCCATGTGCGCGGCCAGCGTCTGCCATGGCTGGCGGCAGGCGACTGGAACGTGGAGCATGGGCCCCTGCTGAGCCGGCGACGTTCGACGGGTTCAATGCCGCGGGCGTGCAGGCCATTGCCTCCTCTGAGCCGACCTGTCACGCCTCCTGCGGCACGCGCGCGGTGCGCGACTCCTTCGTTGCCGCGGGCTGGCTGGGCTTGGCCATTGGGGCTCCGCGGCCTACGCCGGAGCTTCTGGTGCCCGCCCTCGACCTCGTAGCTCTGCCGTTCCTCGAAGCCGGCGACTGGCCGCTGGCCCGCGTGGCAAGGCCACGCGTTTCGTGGCCCCATAGTGAGCTCCACCGAAGGCCTCATGGCAAAGTTCGCATGCGGCTTCATTTCCATTTTGGCACATCCCTCATGCGTTTCGTGGCCCCATAGGGAGCTCCACCGAAGGCTCCAGTGGCAAAGCTTGCGTGCGGTTCCACACCCATTTTGGCACGCCACTCACACGGTTCGTGGTCCCCATAGTGAGCTCCATTGATGGCCCCAGTGGCAAAGTTCGCATGCGGTTCCACCCCCATTTCGGTACACCCCTCACACGTTTCGTGGCCCCATAGGGAGCTCCACCGAACGCCCCAGTGGCAAAGTTCGCATGCGTTTCTGCGTCCATTTGGGCGTAACCCTCGCGCAGTTCATGGCCCCATATGGAGCTCCTCCGAGGGCCCCAATGGCAGAGTTCGCATGCGGTTCTGCCCCCCTTTTGGCACACCCCTCACACGTTTCGTGGCCCCATAGGGATCTCCACCGAAGGCGATGCTCACAACTGCTGCACCCACGACTGCATATGGTTGGGTCCTTCGCCCGCATTCTCACTTCTCCTCCCGCTCTTCCCTCCCCCCCATTTTTGCACGCCCCTCGCACGTTTCGTGGCCCCATAGGGAGCTCCACCGAAGTCCCCAGTGGCAAAGTTCGCACACGGTTCCACCCACATTTTGGTACACCCTAACACGTTTCGTGGCCCCATACGGAGCACCACCAAAGGCCCCAGCGGCACAGTTTGCACGCGGTTCCACACCCATTTTGGCACGCTCTCACACGGTTCGTGGCCTCACAGGGTGTTCCACTGAAGGCCCCAGTGGCAAAGTTCGCATGGTACACCCATCGCACGGCTCGTGGCCCCATGGGAAGTTCCAGTGAAGACCGTAGTGGCAAAGTTCGCATGCGGTCCCACCCTCATTTTGGCATACCCCTCACGCAGTTCGTGGCCCCATAGGGAGCTCCACCGAGGACCCCAGTGGCAGAGTTCGCATATGGTTCCGCCCTCATTTTAGCACACCTCCTACACGTTTCCTGGCCCCGTAATTAGCTCCACTGAAGGCTCCAGTGGCAAAGTTCGCACGCGGTTCCATCCCCATGTCGGCGCACCTCTCACGCGTTCCGTTGCCCAATAGGGAGCTCCACCGAAGGCCCCAGTGGCAAAGTTCGCATGCGCCTCCACTTCCA